ACAAATTTGTATTTCAAATATAACAATTATGTTTTTCGTCAATATTACGTTTTATTACAAGAAAATGTTTCTTTTTAAGATTATAATACTTATTGTAGACAAACGTCTTGTACAGATACAAATGGTATACAAAATAATTTTTTTATATCCTGTTTTGAGTACAGGTACATGTACATATATATAAACTACACACGTAAGTTAATTGCTATGTAAAAAAACGTTTTCTTAATACGTACATATTTTTGAAAATAAAGTCATGCTATGTTACATATTATTATTCTGAACAGCTTCATATTGTCAAAATACCGCTCCTTCATTCATGAAATAATCAACAAATTTATTTGTTACAGCATTACATGATGTGCGTTCATTTATATCTATATAAGTAATATCTCTTATAGCTCCACATTCATTAATTTCATCAAACATTCTAGTAAATACATTCCGTTGTTTATTTACGGATTTTTTAAATTCATCTTTTATTATAAAATTATGAAGACAAAGCGATGCTTTGATAATATTATCAACAGTCTCCAAAGATGCTATAATTGGTTTACGAAATATTCGCCATCGAGATGCTAAAATACCAAAGGCGCTTTCAATGGTACGGCGTGCACGACTTAATCGATAATTAAAAATTCTCTTCTCGTAAGTTAAAGAATTTCGAGGAAATGGCCGCATTATGTATGTTTTTAAGGCGAATGCTTCATCTCCAACCAAAACAAATGATAAATTATAATTCTCTGAAATATTTTCTGGAGGAGGCACATTTAATAAATTATTTTCAAAAGCAATACCAATGTCACTTCTTTGAAATATTCCTCCATTGCTTTGGCGTCCTTCTGCTCCAATGTCTACAAGAGTAAAACAATAATTCGCGTCACAGGCAGCCATCAATATTATACTATGGGATGAATGATAATTGTAAAATGTAGAGCCAGAATGCGAAGGTGCCTAAAATATTTATTTTTATTAACAATAAAAAACATATTTATTTACCTGAAAACAATTTATTTATAATATTTACCTGAATAATAATATGTTTCCCGTCTGTTGCTCCAATACAATTGACAAAATTCCACTTATCATTAAATTCCTTAGCAATTCTCTTCCAGTCATGTTCTGTTGGTTGTTTCAGGACAATTGGTTGTAAAACATTCCAAATTGCTGTTGTAGTCTCTAATATTATTTTCGATACTGTACTTTTGCCTATTCGAAACTGATAACTAAGTGATACCATACTATCCCCGCTTGCAAGATAGCTGCCAATAACAATGTATTAAATAATATTGTTACGCCTGTGCTGTGCCGATGCCGTTGGTCGCCGCTCGCGAAGGACTGAAGACCGCGTTGTCTGGCAACGAGCCGCTCAGCTGATTAACAAGATCGGCTGATTTTGCGGTGAAGGTTTGACGCGTACGGATGTGATTTCCGCCCGCAGTTATTACTTCTGTTATTGTGTCTTGTGACTATTCGGAGTGTGACAATAAAGAGTTATTGTTTATATATTCCCCGTCTCCATTCATTTCCGTGGCTCGGAGTGCGCGGCGCGTTCGCGAGTGTGAATTCGCGTAGCGGGTGTAACATTTTGGGGGCTCGTCCGGGATCAAAGAGCCGTGTGTTGTGTTACGATCGCCGGTCAAAACGAGGAAAAGAGCTCAAATGGAGAGTTCGCAAGAGTCGATAACACAACGGGAAACGGGAACGACAGTTCAGCGAATCAGAATCGCTCCTGAGGAATCTTCCTCGATCGCAACAGTGCTCCAGGCCGTCCTTCAAGAGGTACAACAGTTGCGCGAGGAACAACGTCGCGCGAGGACAGAGTTTACAGAGACGTTGCGACAGCGGGACGCGGAGGTCACGCAACAGCAGCTACGGCAGAAGGAGTATGCGGCGACGTTACGACAACGGGATACGGAGATCGCTCAGCTGCAGGAAAAATTGCGAGGAATTCCTACCAACCAGATAAGTCCTTCCAATAATGTTTTCCATAGCAGTCCGCCTCTCCGCGTCGAGGATCGTTCCGTTGCTTGCGCGAATAACAGTCTACCCGTTAATTCCGTCGCGAGTGCTGGAAATATCCCAGATTCCGTCGTGAGGGTGCCATTACATGGAGCGCGGAAACGCAGAAACGCGGAAACGCGGAAGAAAAAGTAACTAGATTCCACGGTTCCGTTGTTTCTTCCCGCGTGTTTAAGCGGAAAAGCGGAATCCGTTTTTTTAATGTTATTATAAATATATATATATACATATAATCACGAGAGATCGCTTTGTTGCACGATTTTGCAATGGACGGTCCTGTAAGTATTTGAATAATTTTCAGAACCTAGTGAATATAAGAGCTCTGTTATTTTTGCAGAAAGGTTTTTGTAATTTCTATATTTTTTTTAAAATTATATATGTGATATAACACCTACTGAACGAAATTATAACATCACTTTATTAGAAATAAAGATAATTAAACAATTGTATTTATTCGCAGGCAACAAAATGTGGCTACTGTGGTTTCGTTATGAAAGGATAATGTGGAATAAATTTGGATCACCATTGTTTTGCTACATACGACGAAAATTCCGACTTAATTAATGTCGACCAAAATGCTATCGTCACTATGAGTACGTTAAAAAATAATTTTTGATGATATTGACGTTCATTGCTTGATGATATTGACGTTCATTGCTTGATGCACATTTACATCCAATATCTTGTCCAATTGAAACATTTCACAGTAACTTGAATCATTGTGCATTTATTTTAAAGGAAAAAGACTTGAAACTAAAGTTGTACAGCATTCAAAGGCTGAAGCTGAACAGCATGTGTCTAATACACACTCTACAAATACTCTCACACAAGATGAATTACTAATAGAATTAGTTCGTGTTCGAAGAGCTTTATGGGATCATTCCGATTAGTCAAAGAACAAAATTAAAAAAACAAGATCTCTGGCACGAGATTGTAAATGTATTTGGTGGTGAGATCATTTTTTAATTACTTATGAATTAAAAACTCAATAAAGAAACAGGGCTACGAGCCAAAATTAGTTGTTATAATTTAAAAGTTCAGAATAGAAAATAAATGATTATATCATTACGTTGAAAATATAATAAACTTTAATATAAAAACAAATATTTCGATCGGATCATTCTCAATGTTTACAAAAATTAGTCGATCTGGTAAAACAGATATAAACTGACTTATTTTTGTAAACATTGAGAATGATCCGATCGCGATCAAAACATTGTTTTTATATTAAAGTTTATTATATTTTCGTAATGATATAATTGTTTATTTTTTATTCTGAAATTTTAAATAATAACGACTAAGGCCGGGTTCACACCTTGACGGAAAAGCAAAAAGCGGAAAAGTGGAAGCCAATCGGAACTTGCGGTAGTAGTAAGCGATACATTCCGTTTGTCTGTTCTGTCTTTCCGCGAGTTCTGATTGGCTTCCGGTTTTCCGCTTTCTGGTTTTCCGTCAAGGTGTGAATCCGGCCTAATTTTTTGCTCGTAGCCCTTTTTCTTTATTGAGTTTTTAAATTTATTGAGCCATACTATTATTATGTATTTTTATATGAATTATATTATCCGCGTGAAAAAGTAAATGATTCTCTGTAAATCGTAGAATCCCTCACTTTAGAAACAATAAAACAGAGATGGAAACATCTTCGAGATTCATATATAAAAGCTAAGAAGAAAATGCGAGGATATGTACGAAGTGGGTCGGGAGCGGAATCGGGCCATCCATTACAAAGTTCTTTCTCCCATTATGAACAAATGAGATTTCTTGACAATCTCGAAAAGATAGCTCCGTAAGTATTAATTTACATTGTTTTTAACTGAAATTTTACAAACATTCAAATTGTGTGGTATGGAATTTAATAATTTTTAAACTCGTTTTTATTTCAGAACTGCCAGCTCCATCCAGCATCTTTTAGAAATGCCTTCATCCCATGTTGATGTGCAAATGGATACTATTCAAGAGGATAACTTGAGTGATTTTGACGATTCCGTAATGAATTCTGCATACTCACCATCAGAAGCATCACAAATATCATCATGTCCCTCATCGGCACGGGCTAAAAAGTACAGTAGTAAGTAATAATATTTTTATTTCAAAATTGAAAAGACAAGATATGGAGCTACGAACTAATCAAAATCTTAATGCTAAAATATTAAACATTTATTGTTCAACATTTTAGCATTAAAGACCTTGCTTGGCTCATAATCCTATCTCTTGTTTTTTTTAATTTTCCCTTGATTTTGTATTTTTTTAAAGCATATGTATACGCATATATATTAATTACAGATGTGCAAAAGCAAACTGAAATTGAAAAGAAATTTCTAAATATGATTGATGAAGAATTGTCGCAGAAAAAACGTGATACAGTTGACAGTTATTTAGAACAGCTTGGCGATATACTACGCCGATTGCCCTATATACGACGCAGAAACCTGCAAAGAAAAATCCTCGATATTACTATAGAAGAAGAGGATGCCATATTTGTGGAGAGGGAGAATGCTAATTAGAAATATTTTATTAATATTATAAATTTTTAATGTCGTGTATTACTGCAAAAAATAAAATATACTTTTCCATTTAGTTTATTACATAATATTTCAAGTCATTACATAATATTTATCATAATTCACTACATAATGTTTCAAAAGTCGTTACTTAAAACTTTATCCCATTGCCACGGTAGAGGATTGACATGCTCAAAATAATAAGTGAAAGTGTCTCGAATTTTTATTGCTGCAGACTTTCGTGAAAAATTTGTATAACTTGCACGTCTAAGTCCGTAACTTGTAGCCAAAATTTCACGTTCTTCTTCTCGTATGTTACAATACCTTCTTTCTGCAAGTGGTAATTCTAGTTCTTTATTATATATAAAATTATGCAAGACAATTGTTGCCTGCACAGCTTTTACGACAGTAGATGTGCTTGCAATAATAGGTTGACGATATAGTCTCCATCTTGCAACCAAAATCCCGAAAGCACATTCAACTGTTCTCCTTGCTCAGGCGATAATTGAAAATTTTTCTACTAATATTCAGTTGTCCACTACGAGGATATGGTCGCATTATATATGTGCTCAAAGGAAAGGCCTCATCTCCCAACAAAACGTACGGAAATTCCAAATCTGTATTATTCAAACGTGTTGGTAGAGGGATATGAAGAGCATTCGTCTCAAGTAGATGTGGTAATCCACTGTTTTCAAAAACACCTCCGTCGCTTTGCCTTCCTTCAGCTCCAATATCAACAATGGTGAAGCGATTCTTGGCATCACTTACTGCGAGCAGGTTTATGCTGTGATTTCCTTTATAGTTATAGTAGCACGAACCACTACGAGGCGGTGCCTGCAATTGGAAACCATTGTGATGAACACATTACTCATTCCAAAGCATACATAATTACATTATCAATATAATATATTAAATCTAAATTAATATTATTAAATTTGTAATATACCTGAATTACGACATGCTTTCCATCGATAGCGCCTATACAGTTTGGAAATTCGCACGTTTCCTCAAAGTCTCTTGCAATTGTATTCCAATTTTCTTCAGTTGGATCAATTATAACTTTATCCTTTAAAGAGAGCCAAATTGCTTGACATGTTTCCGGAATAATTCGTGATAGCGTACATTGGGCAATGCGGAAAGCATATGATAGCGATGTCATGTCGCCAGATGCCAACCATCGTAGAGTCACTTCTAATCTTGTTCTGGGTGGTATTGGTTCTCGAACTACATGTTGTTTTTCAATCAGTGGACCAACAATATTGAGTAACTCGTTAAATGTTGTTGATGACATTCTGAGGTAGTTGAAATATTTTTCCGGATCTGTCAATCGCATTTCCACAACTAGATTATCGCTGGCACCTTGCAGAAGTCTTCTTTTCTGCATAAAAATAGGTCGTACCCACAATGCACGGTACTTTTTATCTTGCAATTTCTTATATGCAAATACAAATAAAACATTGAAATAACTTTTCTTTTTGTCATCTCAGCATATCTCGGTTCATTCCTTGCTCGTATGAGATACTTCATAATAATCATCAACATGATGTTTGGATCCATATTATACAGCAACTTTTAAAGGAATAAAAGTATGAAAGCTTTCTTCTTCAATTGGCTCCGAAATTTTATGGTATACACTTCACATTGACAACAGATTTTGACGTGGTCGTTCCGCGAGTTTGTTTCTCCTTATATTACATGAAGCATAATTTCCGCGGAAAAGCGGAAAAGTATAGTGACAAATAGACATTTGTATTGATTTTTAAAAATTATATTTACTTAATTCATTGTAATTCTTTTTAATATGTTCATCCTTTCAACTTATCTATTGAATACAAGCATTTTAATCAATAAATGTCGTTAAAAATTACTGTTTTATAATTCTCGGTTGCGCTCTCCCGCTCTAAATATGCTCCATGTAATATAAGGCAATTAAAAAGGACAGAACGGAACGCGTGGAAACGCGGAAATCTAGTAAAGTTTGTCTTCTGCGTTTCCGCGTTTCCGCGCTCCATGTAATGGCACTCTGAGTGTTGTTAATCGCGCGAATCTTATTGCCAGCGCTACCAACTTCAGTAATTCCGGTGAAAGTGTCGCCGGTTTTGACGATTTGGCTACTAGGACAATCAACTTTAATTCCGGCATAAATACGGTGAACCGGCGCGAGATACCCGTAAATTCAGTCGGGAGTGCCGAACGTTTTGATCCGACTGCACCGTTTCGCGGAGGGGCGTGCGTAAAGCTTAAGCTGGACACTTATGACGGAAGTGCTCCCCTACGTGAGTTTTTCGCGCAATTTAATCTCATTGCTCGCGCGAACCGGGTGGCACCCAGTTGGACAAGGCTCAATTGGACACGAGCCACTCACAGCGCTTGAGACTACAAATCTCCTAAGCACCGGTCGCTGTGATTGGTGGTGTCCAATCGAGACGTGGTCAATCGGGATCACCCCGCGTGAACCGTTGGGAAGAGGAAACAAGGACTGCCGTCTTGGTGTTATGTTTGCGAGGAAAAGCTCGGGCGGTATTAGAGAGCATGCAAAATCTAGAGAGTTTACAATTTGAAGAATTAAAGTCGAAATTAGAGTTACGTTTTGGAGAGACGCATTCGTTACAAAATTATTATTCGCAATTCATTAATAGAAAACAGAGATTCGGAGAAAATATTGCTTCTTTGGGCTCCGATATAGAGAGACTTTCGCAGTTAGCTTATCCAGAGTGTCCTGATACGGTTCGCGATAAAATCGCATGCGCGCAGTTTGTTTCCGCGCTTTCTGACGGATTTGTGAAAAGAACCCTTCAAATGGAAGGGAAAACATCGTTGAGGGAAGCAATTGAAAGGGGAAAGGCAATAAAATTGATACAAGAAAATAATTTTCAGTATAAAAAGAAAAGTAATTTAAATTTTGGAAGAAAACAGGAGTCAAATTGAAAAGAATAACGGGGAAAGCGAAGGGAATAAATTTAACGGAAAAAGATTTAAAAAGCTTCCAGTGAACAAAAATTTTGAAGGGAGGAAGAATAACAAAGAATGTTGGGAGTGTGGGAAGGAGGGACATTTCCGTTCGGAGTGTCCTGGCAAGGCGGGAAACAAGGAATAGTCGATCTTTACGGGGGAAGCTCGACTAAAATAAACGAATTCCCGAGAAATATTTATCATTCGTATGGCTTATGCTTGGGGAGCACTAAAGAAAATCTATGTACTGACATCCATTATAATAATTGTGCTAACCAACATTCTTTCAGGGAATGCCCCTGTGCTACTAAAAATAAACAATGTTTTAATAACCGTTGTATTGATTTCTGTTCTAATAATTAAATATCCCACGGGAGAACAAGTTCTAGTTAGAAACAAAACCATAGTAAAAGTTCGACTTGCAAGTTACTGTGTGGAAATGTCGATGTTAATGGCTGAAATAAACGAGGATTGTATTTTGGGCGTTGATTTTCTTAAGCTATTCAATTTGCAAAATGTTTTTGATTGCATTTTTCTTGAGTCAGCTACTGAAATATCAGCTAATAAGCGCCGACTTTAAATGTTCACGCATAGAAAACGCAACGGTCGCTGAGATTCCGTCAGATTTAGCAACACTTTTTGAGGAAGGTTCACAGAATTTGGCGAAACTCGAAAAAGAGAATTTTGCCGGCTTTCTGAGCGAATTTTATGACGTATTTTCCGACGATATTATTGCGGGGAATTGTGAGATTGGGGAACATTTCATTAATGTGAAAGATTCTTCCCCTATTAAGCAGGTACCTCGTCGTATCCCTTTACAAATGAGAGGAGAGCTGGATAAAATTATTTTGGAAATGGAAAGACAAGGAGTCATCGAAGAATCTACCAGTCCATGGAGCTCTCCGGTAGTACTGGTTAAAAAGAAGGACGGGATAAGGTTCTGTGTGGATTATCGCAAAGTAAATGCAATTACAACAAAAGACTCTTACCCCTTGCCGAGGATAGATGATATCCTTGATCGACTTTCAGGTAACAGTTGGTTTCCTACCTTAGATTTAAAAAGTGGTTACTGGCAGATTAAAATTCGTTCAGAAGATAAAGAAAAGACGGCTTTTTCTATTGGTAATGGCTTGTGGCAATTTAAAGTTATGCCTTTCGGTCTTTGTAATGCTCCCGCTACGTTCGAACGTGCGATGGAACGGATTTTAAAGGATTACCTTTTTAAAATCTGTCTAGTTTACCTTGATGATGTAATTATTTTTGGTAAGAATTTTGAGGAGATGTTATTAAATCTAGAGAAGGTTTTTTATCGCTTAAGAGAAGTGAACTTGAAAATAAATCCGAAGAAATGTATATTCTTTAGTAGAAAAATTACATATTTGGGTCATTTCATTTCAGCGGAGGGCATTGCTACAGATCCGGAGAAAATAAGCGCTGTGAAGGACTGGCCAATCCCTCGAAATAGAAAATATTTAAGAAGTTTTCTTGGATTTTGCTCGTATTATCGCAAATTCGTTAAAGATTTCTCTTCATTAGCAAAACCGCTTTATGTATTAACAGAAAACCAAATTAAATTTGTTTGGGAAGAGAAACAGCAGAGTTCTTTCGATGGTTTAAAGCGAGCTTTAACGTCTCCACCAATTCTAGCATTTCCTGAAACGGAGGGGAAATTTATTTTGGATACAGACGCATCAAATGAAGGGATTGGAGCAGTCCTCTCACAAAAACAAAATGGCACTGAAAGAGTGATTGCATATTTCAGTCAAACACTAATTGTAAGTAAGACCGAAAGGAATTATTGCGTCACACGGCGTGAACTTTTAGCTATCGTCCGATCCGTGAAATCTTTTCACCATTATTTGTACGGACGCAAATTCCTTATTCAAACGGATCACATTTCACTTAAATGGTTGTTGTCATTTAAAGACTTACAATTAAAAGGACAATTGGCGCATTGGTTGGAATGATTGCAACAATACGATTTCGAGATTGATTATCGTAAAGGTCTTTCCCATAAAAACGCGGACGGGTTATCTAAACGACCGTGCATAAGTAAACAGTATCGTTATTGTGCTAATAAAGAACTAAGCCATAAAACAAGAAAACCATGTTGGAAGAATGATTCTCGCAGAGGACAACCATAAAGATTGGCGAAAAGAACAAATGGAGGATCCTTGCATTAGCTGGTTTTTATTAAAGAAAGAAACAGGAGAAGGGCATCCTTTACGGTACGAAATGGCGGCTAAGGATGTCTCTACCAAGGTATATTGGTCCTATTGGGATACTCTTGAAATTAAGAACGGTATTCTCTATAAAAAATGGGAGGCTCCTAATCTGAAGAAAACAATCCTTCAATTAATAATACCCAGGAGACTTA